GTAACCCTAGACTTAACGAACAACGTCCACCTACCTTACAGAAAACCTAATACTAATCCCCTGTATGTACACCCTAAGTCAAACCACCCTCCATCTATACTTAAGCATATGCCCACATCAATAGGGAAAAGAATAAGTATGAACTCAGCAAATAAGGAAATATTCCGACAATACAGTAGTTTCTATAACACAGCCCTGAAAAATAGCGGATACAAAAACGCTGACATAACCTATAGAAACGATAGTACCAATAATAAGAAAAGCAGGAAAAGAAAGATCATCTGGTATACCCTCCGTACAACCAAATGGTCAGTACCAAACTAGGCCATAAGTTCCAGCTTTAATTGGAAAAGCACTTTCCACTAATAGCAAACTTAGCAAGATTTTTAACAAAAACACCTTAAAATTGAGTTAGCTGCACTGAAAATCTAGAAAGAATCATAAAAAAGACATAATAAGAAAATCCTAGAAAACACGCATGCCAAAAACAGAAATAAAACTCATAAACTAAAATTAGATAAAATAACGAAAAATTATGTGATTGTAGAAACCCTAAAGACCGCCTGTTGGAAAATAAATGCCTCACTAAATCCGTGGTATACCAATGCACTATCTCATCCATTGAGAGTCCTAACACTGATAGGATAGACAGAGGCTCAACGAAGAATAATTTTAAAATTAGATGGAGGCGACACAAGAGCTCCTTCAACAATATTCAAAATAGAAATCAGACATCTCTATCCCAATATTTCTGGCATCTAAAAGAAACGAATAAAACACCAAAAGTAAAATGGAAAATAGTAAATAGAACAAGAACTTGTAAAACCTGGGATGACCCATGCCCTTTATGCCTACACGAAAAACTACACATCCTTAAGTTTCTAAACAATGAAAAATTATTAAACCATAGGCAGGAGTTAACGGTTTTTGCCGACATCAACAAATTTTCGCATTAAATAATCAGCATAAAAAAATCCCATAGTTTAATAAAAGTCTTAAATGCTTAGCGAAATCATTAAATAGGAAAAACCCTTTCTGTAGTCATCAAAAAACAAATTGAAATTCAGTGTAATACGGTTTTTATATAAGACACCAACTTGAATAAACAAATAAATAAATAGATAATCAGATAGACAATAATGAAACACAATCCTCCCGACATATAACGACTTGTAGGCGCGCCATAAAAAATATCCCTCACTGGGAACTAACCAGTGACCGCCAAGGATGACCGCCAACATTAGCCTTGAAATATATACCCTACCCAAAATTAGCAAAACCTCTCAGAAAATGATGAATCTATAGATAAGAATTAACTCTCTGTCCACTTAACGAAGGAAACTAGCCTAACCACTCCCACAATAACGAATGTTATAACGGACCATGACTAAAAACACACGTAAACCAAGAAATAGCTTATTCCTAAAATTTCGCTTGAAGATGAAACGGGACTAAACACCTCAATTCAACTTTAATTTTAATAATATTTGGATGGTTTCGGCTCTCGTTTTTGAAACATTAGAACTCTTATGTAGCGAAGGTATCATATTTTTAAACAAAAAAATATTACAATTACTATATATATATATATATATATATGTACATATATATATATGTATATATATATACATACATATACATACATACATATACATACACACATATATATATACATACATACATATATATATATATATATATATACATATATATATATATACATATATATATATATATATACATATATACATACATATATATATACATACATACATATATATATATATATACATACATATATATATATATACATACATATATATATATATATACATACATACATATATATATACATACATACATATATATACATACATACATACATATATATATATATATACATACATACATATATATATATACATACATACATATATATATATACATACATACATACATACATATATATATATATATATATATTAGTAATTAATTGGAGGATTTGATAAATTTAATTTTAATTTATCGATTTGATAAAACCTCTACAGAATGCAGAGAAAAGCACTGGACAGCCGTTTCGTCCCATATTTGGGACTCATCAAGGGCGCATCCACTACCGAGATTTGAAACCCCAGTTTGGTTGTTAAGCCATTACCAACTGTCCCAAGTGGGCCTCCGAAGAGATTCCAAATCCCAGACTCAACAAAGCGCCGCTCGCTCACGATTCCGTGGCGATTCATTCGACTGATTCGCTAGGGTGCCCCCTGGAGCCAAATCACCAAGCCGCTACCTTCTGTAGCATTAGAAGCCGGTTCAAAGCGATGATAAAGACAATTAGAATTAATTGGAGGATTTGATAAATTTAATTAATTTATCGAGTCTGATAGAAACATCTACAGAATGCAGAAAGCACTGGACGGCCGTTTCGTCCTATATTTGGGACTCATCAGCAGTGCGCATCCACTACCGAGGTTTAAAACCCTGACAGTTAGGTTGTTAAGCTGACATTATACCAACTGTCCCAAGTGGGCCTCGGTGACGAAGAGATTCCAAATCAGGTTTCTATCAGACTCGATAAATTAATTAAATTTATCAAATCCTCCAATTAATTACTAATTGTCTTTCTAATGCTACAGAAGGTAGCGGCTTGGTGATAGTAGTCGTATTCAGGGGGCACAGTCCCATGGTAATAGCGAATTTTGAATTCCGCCACGGAATATGTGAGCAAGCGGCGCTTTGTTGAGTCTGATTTGGAATCTCTTCGTCACCGAGGCCCACTTGGGACAGTTGGTAGTCATTAACAACCTAACTGTCAGGGTTTCAAATCTCGGTAGTGGATGCGCACTGCTGATGAGTCCCAAATATAGGACGAAACGGCCGTCCAGTGCTTTCTGCATTCTGTAGAGGTTTCTATCAGACTCGATAAATTAATTAAATATATATATATATATATAGACTCACCCGTCGTTTTTGACGTAGGAGTGTCAAGCATCTCAGTTGCTAGGAATCGACATCCAGACTCCCCCACATATGACTTGATTGCAGTGATGAAGGCTTTGAGCAGAACCAACCACACTTTTTGAAAAGATGCCCAAACAAGAAAATCCTCTGCAGGTTTTGAATTCCGAGTTGTCCTTCCCCTAGCCAATCGGCCATCCGAGGCTTTAGGACCCAGTTCTTTCCTGCTATTTACCTCTGGGAGTGGGGAGAGGTGAAGAGGAGGATTCACAAGTGAGTGTAATGAATTTGAACTCGGCTCTCCGATTCCTCAGTTCAAGCCGCTATCCACCGTACCTCGCACATACCTCGTACTACTTGTTATATAGTTTACGGTTTTCCAGAACATGGCGTTAACTTTTATTTGGTGGCTTCTGGCTTCGAAATCAAACAACACTTAGGAGGCCAACAAATGACAAGAAAGTTCTATTAATTAGATTTACGAGACAACTAAATTTCATACCTGAAACTAACAAAATTTAACTCATTTTTAAATAATTAAATTACAGCGTAAATTTTCTCGTGGCTGTAGGCGGCGTTCTTTATCGTCACATTTTTTTGTAAAAGCATTGCCTCGAGTGAGCCTGTCTCAGTGTCTACTGAAAGCCTTTATAACGTCATAATTGAAGGTGTGCTCTACCAATAGCAACTCAGTTCCATTGAAAATCGAATGTTTCCATTTTGAAGCGAGATATTTAGTTTTTCTTTTCCTAGATTATTTTTTGATTTCGTTAATACATAAAATTGACAGCTTTTTTATGTCTTTCAGAAAAGGTCTCTTATTTTCGCATTTATTCTATTTACTGTATTGAAGATTTAAAGCACTAAGATTCATTATTGAAATATTTGATTATTTCTTAGTTTGGAGGGAAAAAAAAAACTCTACATGACAACCCATATTTTATTAAGTGTTCAATTTTGACCGCTTATGATAAAGAAATCGGAAGCCTATCAGGCCAATATGGCGATTTAAGAATTACAGTATGAACAGAATATCTATTAAAAACAGCACCAAGATTTTACTCTAGTAAAAACATTTTTTTAATGAAGTTGCAGAGATAATATTAAAAAGAGGCTGTCGAGTGGCGAATAAAATTTTATTATATCTCTTTTCTATGAATTTTCGGGATGAGTAGTTATAATTATTTAAAGTTAGATAAATGCCTTCATCTTTTTTAATGTTATTATCACAATTTTTTAGTCGTTGAGCTCTCCGGTCTTTTTCAAGTGTCTGTCGGTCTTGTCAACGATCAGCGAATTTGGAACTGAAACATTTTGTTAATCTCGGAAAAATATTCTCTTCATTCGGCTGTTCGTTTGTTGTTTTTTTTTTAAATTCTTTTGTTATTTTTATTACTTATTTATTTTCTGGTCTGTGAAGTACAAAAAACCGATGAGAAAAAGGCTAGCAATAACTGAGCAGTACTTGAAAAAATAAAATAAATAAAAAAAAAATACCTTGGTATGGACAGCGGAAGAAGAACAATTTATTCACACCAAATCGATACCTTCAATTGGGTTCGAAAGTCTTGTCACCCATACATAATATAATTTTCTATTTCAGATAACTGACACGAGCTCGTACAGTTTAGAATGTAGAGTGCTAGCAAGTGAATGGATACCTGAACGCTTGCATTCTGAAAAGAGCATTGAGGATGTGCAACATGACTTCACTGCAAGATTCGGCAGACCAGCTACTCCGATACTTCGATGGGAACATAAGCTAGCTCCTCCGATACTGGGATGGGAACATAAGCTAGCTCCTCCGATACTTCGATGGGAACATAAGCTAGCTTCTCCGATACTACGATGGGAACATAAGCCAGCTCCCCCGATACTGCGATGGGAAAATAAGCTAGCTCCTCCGATACTGCGATGGGAACATAAGCTAGCTCCTACGACACTGAGATGGGAACATAAGACAGCTCCTCCGATACTGCGATGGGAACATAAGCTAGCTCCTTCGATACTTCGATGGGAACATAAGCTAGATTCTCCGATACTGCGATGGGAACATAAGCCAGCACTTCCGATACTGCGATGGGAAAATAAGCCAGCTTTTCCGATACTGCGATGGGAACATGAGCCAGCTCTTCCGATACTGCGATGGGAACATAAGCCAGCGCCTCCGATACTGCGATGGGAACATAAGCCAGCTCCTCCGATACTGCGATGGGAACATAAGCCAGCCCCTCCGTTACAGCGATGGGAACATAAGCCAGCTCCTCCGATTCTGCGATGGGAACATATGCCAGATCCTTCGATACTTCGATTGAAACATAAGCCACGTCTTCCGATACTGCGATGGGAACATAAGCCAGCTCCTCCGATACTGCGATGGGAACATGAGCCAGCTCCTCCTATACTGCTATGGGAACATAAGCCAGCTCCTCCGATACTGCGATGGGGAACATAAGCCAAGCTCCGATACTTCGATGGGAACATAAGCCAGCTCCTCCGATACTGCGATGGGAACATAAGCCAGCTCCTCCGATACTTCGATGGTAACATAAGCCAGCTCGTCCGATAACATAAGCGATGGGGATACATAAGCCAGCCCTCCGATACTGCGATGGGGACATGAGCCAGCTCCTCCGATACTGCGATGGGAACATAAGCCAGCTCCTCCGATACTTCGATGGTAACATATGACAACTTCTCAGATACTGCGATGGGGACATAAGCCAGCTCCTCCGATACTGCGATGGGAACATAAGCCAGGTCCTCCGATACATCGATGAGAACATAAGCCAGCTCCTCCGATACTGCGATGGGAACATAAGCCATCTCCTCCGATATTTCGATGGTAACATAAGCCAGCTCCACCGATACTGCGATAGGAACATAAGCCAGCTCCTCTGATACTTCGATGGTAACATATGACAACTTCTCCGATACTGCGATGGGAACATAATACAGCTCCTCCGATACTGCGATGGGAACGTAAGCCAGCTCCTCAGATACTTCGATGGTAACCTATGACAATTTCTCCGATACTGCGAGGGGGAACATAAGCCATACTGCTCCTCCGATTCTGCGATGGGAACATAAGCCAGATCCTCCGATACTTCGATGGGAACATAAGCCAGCTCATCCGATACTTCGATGGGAACATAAGCCAGCTCCTCCGATACTGCGATGGGGACATATGCCCGACCGATACTTCGATGGGAACATAAACCAGCTCTTCCGATACTGCGATGGGAACATAAGCCAGCTCCTCCGATACTGCGATGGGAACATAAGCCAGCTCCTCCGATACTGCGATGGGAACATAAGCCAGCTCCTCCGATACTGCGATGGGAACATAAGCCAGCTCCTCCGATACTTCGATGGGAACATAAGCCAGCTCCTCCGATACTGCGATGGGAACATAAGCCAGCTCCTCCGATACTTCGATGGTAACATAAGCCAGCTCGTCCGATACTGCGATGGGAACATTAGCAAGCTCCTCCGATACTGCGATGGGGACATGAGCCAGCTCCTCCGATACTGCGATGGGAACATAAGCCAGCTCTCCGATACTTCGATGGGGGAAATATGAGCCATCTCCGATACTGCGATGGGGACATAAGCCAGCTCCTCCGATACTGCGATGGGAACATAAGCCAGCTCCGATACTGCGATGGGAACATAAGCCAGCTCCTCCGATACATGATGGGAACATAAGCCAGCTCCTCCGATACTGCGATGGGAACATAAGAACCATACTTGATGGGGAACCTGATAGCCAGCGCTCCGATACTATGGAACATAAGCCAGATACCGATACTGCGATGGGAACATAAGACAGCTCCTCCGATACTTCGATGGGAACATATGCCAGCTCCTCCCGATACTGCGATGGGAACATAAGCCAGCTCCTCCGATACTGCGATGGGAACATAAGCCAGCTCCTCCGATACTTCGATGGGAACCCGTTACAGCTTCTCCGATACTGCGATGGGAAATATAAGCCAGCTCCTCCGATACTGCGATGGGAACATAAGCCAGCTCCTCCGATACTTCGATGGGAACATATGACAGCTCATCCGATACTGCGATGGGAACATAAGCCAGCTCCTCCGATACTGCGATGGGAAATATAAGCCAGCTCCTCCGATACTGCGATGGGGAACACAAGCCAGCTCCTCCGATACTGCGATGGGAACATAAGCCAGATCCTCCGATACTGCGATGGAACATATGCCAACCTGAGCCGATGGTAACATATGACAACTCCGATACTGCGATGGGAACATAAACCAGCTCCTCCGATACTGCGATGGATGGGAACATAAGCCAGCCTCCGATACTGCGATGGGAACATTAGACATATACAATGGGGAACTCCTCCGATACTTCGATGGTAACATATGACCAGCTCCTCCGATACTGCGATGGGAACATAAGCCAGCGCCTCCGATACTGCGATGGGAACATGTTGCCTCCTCCGATACTTCGATGGGAACATATGACAGCTTCTCCGATACTGCGATGGGGACATAAGCCAGCTCCTCCGATACTGCGATGGAACATAAGACAGATCTCCGATACTTCGATGGAACATAAGCCAGCTCCTCCGATACTTCGATGGGAACATAAGCCAGCCTCCGATACTGCGATGGAACATAAGCCAGCTCCTCCGATACTGCGATGGGAAATAAGCCAGCTCCTCCGATACTGCGATGGGCACATAAGCCAGCTCCTCCGATATTGCGATGGAACAGCCAGCCCTCCGATACTGCGATGGGAACATAAGACAGCTCTCCGATACCGCGGATGGGGAACATAAGCCAGCTCCTCCGATACTGCGATGGGAACATAAGCCAGCTCTTCCGATACTGCGATGGGAACATAAGCCATCCTCCGATACTGCGATGGGGAACATAAGCCAGCTCCGATACTGCGATACCAGCTGCGATGGGGAACATAAGCCAGCTCCTCCGATACCGCGATGGGAACATAAGCCAGCTCCTCCGATACTCCGATGGAACATAAGCCAGCTCCTCCGATACTGCGATGGGAACATGAGCCAGCTCCTCCGATACTGCGATGGGGCACATAAGCCAGCTCCTCCTATACTTCGATGAAACATAAGCCAGCTCCTCCGATACTGCGATGGGAACATAAGACAGCTCCTTCGATACTGCGATGGGAACATAAGCCAGCTCCTCCGATACTGCGATGGGGAACATAAGCCCAATTCTCCGATACCGCGATGGGAACATAAGCCAGCTCCTCCGATACTGCGATGGGAACACATAAGCCAGCTCCTCCGATACTTCGATGGGAACATAAGCCAGCTCCTCCGATACTGCGATGGAACATAAGACAGCTTTTCCGATACTGCGATGGGTACATAAGCCAGCTCCTCCGATATGGGAACATGCGATGGGGCACATAAGCCAGCTCCTCCGATACTGCGATGGGAACATAAGCCAGCTCCTCCGATACTGCGATGGGAACATAAGCCAACTCCTCCGATACTGCGATGGGAACATAAGCCAGCTCCTCCGATACTGCGATGGGAACATAAGCCAGCTCCTCCGATACTGCGATGGGAACATAAGACAGCTCCTCCGATACTGCGATGGGAACATATGCCAGATCCTTCGATACTTCGATGGAAACATAAGCCACGTCTTCCGATACTGCGATGGGAACGTGACAACTCTCCGATACTGCGATGGGAAATATATGCCAGCTCCTCCGATACTTCGATGGTAACATATGACAACTTCTCCGATACTGCGATGGGAACATAAGCCAGCTCCTCCGATACTGCGATGGGAACATAAGCCAGCTCCTCCGATACTTCGATGGGAACATAAGCCAGCTCCTCCGATACTGCGATGGGAACATAAGCCAGCTCCTCCGATACTGCGATGGGAACATAAGCCAGCTCCTCCGATACTTCGATGGGAACATGAGCCAGCTCCTCCGATACTGCGATGGGAACATAAGCCAGCTCCTCCGATACTGCGATGGGGACATATGCCAGCTCCTCCGATACTGCGATGGGACATAAGCCAACTCCTCCGATACTGCGATGAGACATAAGCCAGCTCCTCCGATACTTCGATGGGAACATATAGCCAGCTCTTCCGATACTGCGATGGGAACATAAGCCAGCTTGGTCCGATACTGCGATGGGAACATAAGCCAGCTCCTCCGATACTGCGATGGAACATAAGCCAGCTCTCCGATACTGCGATGGGAACATATGAGCTCCTCCGATACTGCGATGGGAACATAAGCCAGCTCCTCCGATACTGCGATGGGGAACATAAGCCAGCTCCTCCGATACTGCGATAGGAACATAGCCAGCTGCGATGATGGAACATGAGCCAGCTCCTCCGATACTGCGATGGAACATAAGCCAGCCTCCACCGATACTGCGATGGGAACATAAGCCAGCTCCTCCGATACTGCGATGGGAACATATGCCAGCTCTTCCGATACTTCGATGGGAACATAAGCCACCTCCTCCGATACTGTGGGAACATAAGAGAGCTCCTCCGATACTGCGATGGGGACATAATCCAGCCCTCCGATACTGCGATGGGGAACATAAGCCAGCCTCCGATACTGCGATGGGAAAATAATCCAGCTCCTCCGATACTGCGATGGGAACATAAGCCAGCTCCTCCGATACTGCGATGGGGAACATAAGCCAGATCCTTCCGATACTGCGATGGGAACATAAGCCAGCTCCTTCCGATACTGCGATACTGGGGAACATAAGCCAGCTCCTCCGATACTGCGAGGGGAACATAAGCCAGCTCCTCCGATACTGCGATGGGAACATATGCCAGATCCTTCGATACTTCGATGGAAACTGAAGCCACGTCTTCCGATACTGCGATGGGAACATAAGACAGCTCCTCCGATACTGCGATGGGGAATAAGCCAGCTTCCGATACTGCGAGGGGAACATAAGCCACCTCCTCCGATACTGCGAGGGGAACATATGCCAGATCCTTCGATACTGCGATGGAAACATAAGCCACGTCTTCCGATACTGCGATGGGAAACATAAGCCAGTCCCTCCGATAATGCGATGGGAACATAAGCCAGCTCCTCCAATACTTCGATGGGAACATAAGCCAGATTCTCCGATACTGCGATGGGGAACATAAGCCAGATCCTTCGATACTTCGATGGGAACATACTGCGATGGGGAACGCCAATACAAGCTCCTCCGATACTGCGATGGGAACATATGCCAGCTCCTCCAATACTACGATGGGAACATAAGCCAGCTCCTCCGATACTGCGATGGGAACATAAGCCAGAATCCTCCGATACTGCGATGGGAACATTAGCCAGATCCTCCGATACTGCGATTGGAACATAATACTGCCAGCACCTCCGATACTGCGATGGGAACATAAGCCAGCTCCTCCGATACTTCGATGGGAACATGAGACAGCTCCTCCGATACTGCAATGGGAACATAAGCCAGCTCCTCCGATACTGCGATGGGAACATATGACAACTTCTCCGATGCTTCGATGGGGACAAATTCTCCGATACTGCGATGGGAACATATGCCAGCTCCTCCGATACTTCGATGGGAACATAAGCCAGCTCCTCCGATACTGCGATGGGAACATAAGCCAGCTCCTCCGATACTGCGATGGGAACATAAGCCAGCTCCCGATACTTCGATGGTAAGATAAGCCAGCTTCTCCCATACTTGCGAGAGGGAACATAAGCCAGCTCCTCCGATACTCCGATGGGAACATAAGCCAGCTCCTCCGATACTGCGATGGGAACCAAGCCAGCTCCTCCGATACTGCGATGGGAACATAAGCCAGCTCCTCCGATACTGCGATGGGAACATAAGCCAGCTCCTCCGATACTGCGATGGGAACATAAGCCAGCTCCTCCGATACTGCGATGGGAATATTATGCCAGCTCCTCCGATACACTTATGGGAACATAAGCCAGCTCCTCCGATACTGCGATGGGAACATAAGCCAGCTCCTCCGATACTGCGATGGGAACATAAGCCAACTCTCCGATACTGCGATGGGGACATAAGCCAGCTCCTCCGATACTTCGATGGGGAACATATATGCTCCTCCGATACTGCGATGGGGACATAAGCCAGCTCCTCCGATACTGCGATGGGAAACATAAGGATATCCAGGTAACATATGCCAGATCCTTCTCCGATACTGCGATGGGGAACATAAGACAGCTCCTCCAATACTGCGATGGGAACATAAGCCAGCTCCTCCGATAACAAGCCAGCTTCGATGGAACATGAGCCAGCTCCTCCGATACTGCGATGGGAACATAAGCCAGCTCTTCCGATACTTCGATGGTAACATATGAGCTTCTCCGATACTGCGATGGGGACATGGGCAATAATGCGCCAGCTCCTCCGATACTGCGATGGGAACATAAGCCAGATCCTTCGATACTTCGATAGGAACATAAGCCAGCTCCTCCGATACTTCGATGGGTAACATGAGACACTTCCTCCGATACTGCGATGGGGACATAAGCCAGCTCCTCCGATACTGCGATGGGAACATAAGCCAGCTCCTCCGATACTGCGATGGGAAAATAAGCCAGCTCCTCCGATACTGCGATGGAACATAAGCCACTTTTCCGATACTGCGATGGGGACATAAGCCAGCTCCTTCGATACTGCGATGGGAACATAAGCCAGCTCCTCCGATACTGCGATGGGAACATAAGCCAGCTCCTCCGATACTGCGATGGGAACATAAGCCAGCTCCTCCGATACTTAGAAGGGAACATAAGACAGCTCCTCCGATACTGCGATGGGAACATACGCCAGCTTTTCATATACTGCGATGGGAACATAAGCCAGCTCCTTCGATACTGCGATGGGAACATAAGCCAGCGCCTCCGATACTGCGATGGAACACAGAGCCACCTCCTCCGATACTGCGATGGGAACATATGACAGTTCCTTCGATACTTCGATGGAACATAAAGCCATCCGATACTGCGATGGGAACGCCGCCAGCTCCTCCGATACTGCGATGGGAACATAAGCCAGCTCCTCCGATACTTCGATGGGAAACATAAGCCAGCTCCTCCGATACTTCGATGGGAACATAAGCCACGTCTTCGATACTTCGATGGGAACATAAGACAGCTCCTCCGATACGCGATACTGCCAGCTGGGGAATATAAGCCAGCTCCTCCGATACTGCGATGGGGAACATAAGCCAGCTCCTGATACTGCGATGGGAACATGAAGCCCTCCGATACTGCGATGGGAACATAAGCCAGCTCCTCCGATACTGATGGGAACATATGCCAGCTCCTCCGATACTGCGATGGGAACATAAGCCAGCTCCTCCTGATACTGCGATGGGAACATAACCAGCTCCTCCGATACTGCGATGGGGAACATATAGCTCCTCCGATACTGCGATGGGAACATAAGCCAGCTCCTCCGATACTGCGATGGGAACATAAGCCAGCACCTCCGATACTGTGATGGGAACATAAGCCAGCTCCTCCGATACTCCGATAGATGGAACATAAAAACAGCTCAACCGATACTTCGATGGAACATAAGCCAGCACTCCGATACTGCGATGGGAACATAAGCCAGCTCCTTCCGATACTGCGATGGGGAAACATAAGCGCCTCCGAACATACCAGCTCCTCCGATGGGCGATGGAACATAAGCCGTCTCCTCCGATACTGCGATGGGAACATAAGCCAGCTCCTCCGATACTGCGATGGGAACATAAGCCAGCTCCTCCGATACTGCGATGGGAACATAAAACAGATCCTCGATACTGCGATGGGGAACATAAGCCAGCTCCTCCGATACTTCGATGGGAATATGAGCCAGCTCCTTGCGATAAACATGCCATGGGAACATAAGATGGTAACATATGACAATCCGATACTGCGATGGGGACATAAGCTCCTCCTACTGCGATGGGGAACATAAGCCAGCTCCCTCCGATACTGCGATGGAACATAACATCCTGATACTGCGATGGGAACATAAGCCAGCTCCTCCGATACTGCGATGGGAACATAAGCCAACTCTTCCGATACTGCGATGGGAACATAAGCCAGCTCCTCCGATACTGCGATGGGAACATAAGCCAGCTTCCTCCGATACTGCGATGGGAACATAAGACAGCTCTTCCGATACTTCGATGGGAAACATAAGCCAGCTCCTCCGATACTGCGATGGGAAATATAAGCCAGCTCCTCCGATACTGCGATGGGAACATACTGCGATGCCGCAGCTCCGATACTGCGATGGGAACATAAGCCAGCTCCTCCGATACTTCGATGGAAACATCCTCCGATACTGCGATGGGAACATAAGACAACTCCTCCGATACTGCGATGGGAACATAAGCCAGCTCCTCCGATACTTCGATGGTAACATAAGCCAGCTCCTACGATACTGCGATGGGAACATAAGCCAGCTCCTCCGATACTGCGATGGGAACATAAGCCAGCTCCTCCGATACTTCGATGGGAACATATGCCAACTCCTCCGATACTGCGATGGGAACATAAGCCAGCTCCTCCGATACTTCGATGGGAACATAAGCCAGCTCCTCCGATACTTCGATGGGAAACATAAGCCAGCTCCGATACTCCGATACTAAGCCAGCATGGGAAACATAAGCCAAGCCAGCTCCTTCGATACTGCGATGGGAAAATAAGCCAGCTCCTCCGATACTGCGATGGGAACATAAGCCAGCTCCTCCGATACTGCGATGGGGAACATAAGCCAGCTCCTCCGATACTGCGATGGGAACATAAGCCAGCTCCTCCGATACTGCGACTCCTCCGATACTGCGATGGGAACATAAGCCAGATCCTCCGATACTGCGATGGGGAACATAAGCCAGCTCTTCCGATACTGCGATGGGGAACATAAGCCAGATCCTCCGATACTGCGATGGGAACATAAGCCAGCTCCTCCGATACTTCGATGGGGAACATAAGCCAGCTCCTCCGATACTGCGATGGGGAACATAAGCCAGCTCCTCCGATACTTCGATGGGAACATGAGCCAGCTCCTCCGATACTGCGATGGAACATGAAACAACCAGACCTCCGATACTGCGATGGGAACATATGACAACTCCGATACTTCGATGGGAACATAAGCAACTCCGATACCGATGGGGAACATAATACAGCTACTGATACTGATGGGAAAGATAAGCCAGCTCTCCGATACTTCGATGGGAACATAAGCCAGCTCCTCCGATACTGCGATGGGAACATAAGCCAGCTCCTCCGATACTGCGATGGGAACATAAGCCAGCTCCTTCGATACTGCGATGGGAACATAAGCCAGCTCTTCCGATACTGCGATGGGGAACATAAGACAGCTCCTCCGATACTGCGATTACAAAAAGCCAGCTTTTCCGATACTGCGATGGGAACATGAGCCGCTCCTCCGATACTGCGATGGGAACATAAGCCAGCCCTCCGATACTTCGATGGAACATATGACAGCTCCGATACTGCGATACCAGCTCCTTCGATACTGCGATGGGGAACATAAGCCAGCTCCTCCGATACTGCGATGGGAACATAAGCCAGCTCCTCCGATACTGCGATGGGAACATAAGCCAGCACCCGATACTGCGATGGGGAACATAAGCCAGCTCCTCCGATACTGCGATGGGAACATAAAGACAGCTCTTCCGATACTGCGATGGGAACATAAGCCAGCTCCTCCGATACTGCGATGGGGAACATAAGCCAGCTCCTCCGATACTGCGATGGGGTATAAGCCAGCTCCATCCGATACTGCGATGGGCATAAGCCAGCTCCTCCGATACTGCGATGGGGACATTAGAAAGCTCCTCCGATACTTCGATGGGAACATAAGACAGCTCCTCCGATACTGCGATGGGAACATAAGCCAGCTCCTCCGATACTTCGATGGGAACATATGCCAGCTCCTCCGATACCGCGATGGGGAACATGTCAGCTCCTCCGATACTGCGATGGGAACATAAGCAGCCCCTCCGATACTGCGATGGGGACATAAGCCAGCCCCTCCGATACTGCGGATGGGGAAGCCAGCCCTCCGATACTGCGATGGGAACGCTCCTCCTATACTTCGATGGGGACATAAGCCAGATCCTCCGATACTGCGATGGGGACATAAGCCAGCTCCTCCGATACTTCGATGGGAACATAAGCCAGCTCCTCCGATACTGCGATGGGGAACATAAGCCAGCTCCGATCTACTTCGATGGGGACATAAGCCAGCTCCTCCGATACTGCGATGGGAACATAAGCCAGCTCCTCCGATACTGCGATGGTAACATAAGCCAACATCTCCGATACTGCGATGGGAAACATAAGCCAGCTCCTCCGATACTTCGATGGGGACATAAGACAGCTCCTCCGATACTGCGATGGGAACATAAGACAGCTCCTCCGATACTTCGATGGGAACATAAGCCAGCTCCTCCGATACTGCGATGGGAACATAAGCCAGCTCCTCCGATACTTCGATGGGAACATAAGCCAGCTCCTCCGATACTGCGATGGGAACATAAGCCAGCTCCTCCGATACTTCGATGGTAACATATGACAACTTCTCCGATACTGCGATGGGAACATAAGCCAGCTCCTCCGATACTGCGATGGGAACATAAGCCAGCTCCTCCGATACTTCGATGGGAACATAAGCCAGCTCCTCCGATACTGCGATGGGGACATAAGCAGCATACTGCTCAGCCCTCCGATACTGCGATGGGAACATAAGCCAGCTCCTCCGATACTGCGATGGGGAACATATGCCAGATCCTCCGATACTGCGATGGGGAAACATAAGCCAGCTCCCTCCGATACTGCGATGGGGAACATAAGACAGCTCCTCCGATACTGCGATGGGAACATTAGCAAGCCAGAGGGGAAATATGCTCCGATACTGCGATGGGAAACATAAGCCATACTGATGGAAACTGAAGCCAATCTGATACTGCGATGGGAACAAAGACATAAGCCATGGGAACATCCTCCGAATACTGCGATGGAACATAAGCCAGCTCCTCCGATACTGCGATGGGAAATATAAGCAGCTCCTCCATACTGCGATGGGAACATATGACAGTTTCTCCGATACTGCGATGGGGAACATAAGCCAGCTCCTCCGATACTGCGATGGAAATATAACCAGCCCTCCGATACCAGCATGGGAACATAAGACAGCTCCTGATACTGCGGATGGGAACATAAGCCAGCTTTTCCGATACTGCGATGGGGATAAACATATACTGCGATGGGAACATCCTCCGATACTGCGATGGGAACATAAGCCAGCTACTCCGATACTTAGAAGGGGAACATAAGCCAGCTCCTCCAATACTGCGATGGGAAATATACGCCAGATCCTTCGATACTTGATGGGAACATAAGCCACGTCTTCCGATACTGCGATGGGGAACATAAGCCAGATCCTCCGATACTGCGATGGGGAACATAAGCCAGCCTCCGATATGGGGACTCCTCCGATATGCGATGGGAACATACGCCAGCTCCTCCGATACTGCGATGGGGAACATAAAGGCCAGATCCGATACTGCGATGGGAACATAAGCCAGCACTCCGATACTGCGATGGGACATAATCCAGCCCTCCGATACTGCGATGGGGAACATAAGCCAGCTCCTCCGATACTTCGATGGGAACATAAGCCAGCTCCTCCGATACTGCGATGGGAACATAAGCCAGCCTTCCGATACTTCGATGGGAACATGCCAGCTCCTCCGATACTGCGATGGGGGAACATAAGCCAGCTCCTCCGATACTGCGATGGGAAACATAGACAAGCACCTCCGATACTGCGATGGGAACATAAGCCAGCTCTTCCGACATAAGCCAGCGATACCGGGGAACATAAGACAGCTCCTCCGATACTGCGATGGGAACATAAGCCAGCTCCTCCGATACTGCGATGGGAACATAAGCCAGCTCCTCCGATACTGCGATGGGGAACATAAGCCAGATCCTCCGATACTGCGATGGGAACATAAGCCAGCTCCTCCGATACTGATGGTAACATATGACAACTAAGCTCCGATACTGCGATGGGGACATAATCCAGCTCCTCCGATACTGCGATGGGAACATAAGCCAGCTCCCCTCCGATACTGATGGGGAAAATAAGACAGCTCCTCCGATACTGCGATGGGAACATAAGCCAGCTCCTCCGATACTGCGATGGGAACATAAGCCAGCCCTCCGATACTGATGGGGACATAAGCCAGCTCCTCCGATACTGCGATGGGGAACATAAGCCAGCACCTTCCGATACTGCGATGGGAACATAGATCCCGATACTGAAGGAACATGCCCTCCGATACTGCGATGGGGAACATAAGACAGCTCCTCCGATACTTCGATGGGAACATAAGCCACTCTTCCGATACCGCGATGGGGAACATAAGCCAGCTCCTCCGATACTGCGATGGGAACATATGCCAGCTCCTCCGATACTGCGATGGGGAACATAAGCCAGCTCCTCCGATACTGCGATGGGGAACATAAGCCAGCGCCTTCGATATTTCGATGGAAACATAAGCCACGTCTCGGATACTGCGATGGGAAAACATATGCCAGCTCCTCCGATATTGCGATGGGAACATGCGCTCCACCTATACTGCGATGGGAACATAAGCCAGCTCCTCCGATACTGCGATGGGAACATAAGCCAGATCCTCATATACTTCGATGGAAACATATGCCAGCTCCTCCGATACTGCGATGGGAACATAAGCCAGCTCCTCCGATACTTCGATGGTAACATAAGCCAGCTTCTCCGATACTCCGATGGGAACATAAGCCAGCTTTTCCGATACTGCGATGGGAACATAAGCCAGCCCTCCGATACTGCGATGGGAACATGAGCCAGCTCCTCCGATACTGCGATGGGAACATAAGCCAGCAGCTCCTCCGATACTTCGATGGGAACATATGACAGCTTCTCCGATACTGCGATGGGAACATAAGCCAGCGCCTTCGATACTGCGATGGGAACATAAGCCAGCTCCTCCGATACTTCGATGGGAAACATAAGACAGCTTTCCGATACTGCGATGGGAACATAAGCCAGCTTTTCCGATACTGCGATGGGAACATAAGCCAGCTCCCTCCGATACTGCGATGGAACATAAGCCAGCTCCTCCGATACTGCGATGGGGACATAAGCCAGCTCCTCCGATACTGCGATGGAACATAAGCCAGCTCCTCCGATACTGCGATGGGAACATAAGCCAGCCCTCCGATACTTCGATGGGAACATAAGCCACAACTTCCCGATACTGCGATGGGGAACATAAGCCAGCTCCTCCGATACTGCGATGGGGAACATAAGCCAGCTCCTCCGATACTTGGATGGGAACATAAGCCAGCTTTTCCGATACTGCGATGGGGACATAATCCAGCCCTTCGATACTGCGATGGGAAACATAAGCCAGATCCTCCGATACTGCGATGGAAACATAAGCCAGATCCTCTGATACTTCGATGGGGAACCACTGCTCCCGATACTGCGATGGGAACATAAGCCAGCTCCTCCGATACTTCGATGGGAACATAAGACAGCTCCTCCGATACTGCGATGGGAACATACCAGCTCCTCCGATACTGCGATGGGGAACATAAGATCCTCCTCCGATACTGCGATGGGAACATGAGCCAGCTCCTCCGATACTGCGATGGGAACATAAGCCAGCCCTCCGATACTGCGATGGGAAATATAAGACAGCTCACTCCGATACTGCGATGGGAACATAAGCCAGCTCCTCCGATACTGCGATGGGAACATAAGCCAGCCCTCCGATACTGCGATGGGAACATAAGCCAGCCACTGGATGGGAACATAAGCCAGCTCCTCCGATACTGCGATGGGGAACATAAGCCAGCCTCCGATACATGCGATGGTAACATAAGCCAGCACCTCCGATACTTAGATGGGAACATAAGCCAGCTCCTCCGATACTGCGATGGAACATAAGACAGCTTCTCCGATACTGCGATGGGGAAATGCCAGCGCCTCCTATACTGCGATGGGGAACATAAGCCAGCTCCTCCGATACTGCGATGGGAACATAAGCCATGGGGAACATAAGACAGCTCCTCCGATACTGCGATGGGAACATAAGCCAGCTCCTCCGATACTTCGATGGGAAAATAAGCCAGCTCCTCCGATACTGCGATGGGAACATAAGCCAGCTTTTCCGATACTGCGATGGGAACATAAGCCAGCTCCTTCGATACTGCGATGGGAACATAAGCCAGCTCCTCCGATACTGCGATGGGAACATAAGCCAGCTCCTCCGATACTGCGAGGGGAACATAAGCCAGATCCTCAGATACTGCGATGGGAACATATGCCAGATCCTTCGATACTTCGATGGAAACATAAGCCAGCGATGGGAAACATAAGCTCCGATACCGCGATGGGAAACATAAACATACTGCCAGTTTCCGATACTGCGATGGGAACATAAGCCAGCTCCTTCCGATACTGCGATGGAAACATAAGACAGCTCCTCCGATACTGCGATGGGACATAAGCCAGCTCCTCCGATACTGCGATGGGAACATAAGCCAGCTCCTCCGATACTGCGATGGGAACATAAGCCAGCTCCTCCGATACTGCGATGGGGAACATAAGCCAGCTCCTCCGATACTTCGATGGGAACATAAGCCACGTTTTCCGATACTGCGATGGGGAACATAAGCCAGCTCCTCCGATACTGCGATGGGAACATAAGCCAGCTCTTCCGATACTAAGCCACATGGGAACATAACATAAGCAGCTCCTCCGATACTGCGATGGGAACATATAGCCAGCACCTCCGATACTGCGATGGAACATAAGCCAAATGGATAGAACATAGCCAGCTCCTCCGATACTGCGATGGGAACATAAGCCAGCTCTTCCGATACTGCGATGGGAACATAAGCCAGCTCCTCCGATACTTCGATGGGAACATAAGCCAGCGCCTCCGATACTGCGATGGGAACATAAGCCAGCCCTCCGATACTGCGATGGGAACATAAGCCAGCTTTTCCGATACTGCGATGGGGAACATATGCCAGCTCCTCCGATACTGCGATGGGGAACATAAGCCAGCTCCTCCGATACTGCGATGGGGAACATATAAGACAGCTCCTCCGATACTGCGATGGGAACATAAGCCAGCTACTCCGATGGGGACATGAACATTTGATAACGATGGGGAACATAAGCCAGTCCGATACTTGATGGGAAACATAAGCCAGCTTTCCGATACTGCGATGGAACATGCCAGCGTCTTCGATACTTCGATGGAAACATAAGCCAGCGCCTCCGATACTGCGATGGGAACATAGCCAGTTCCTCCGATACTGCGATGGGAACATATGCCAGCTCCTCCGATACTTCGATGGGAACATAAGCCAGCTCCTCCGATACTTCGATGGGAACATATAACAGCCAGCTCCTCCGATACTGCGATGGGAACATAAGCCAGCTCCTCCGATACTGCGATGGGAACATAAGCCAGCTTTTCCGATACTGATGGGAACATAAGCCAGCTCCTTCGATACTGCGATGGGGACATAAGCCAGCTTTTCCGATACTGCGATGGGGAACATATGCCAGCTCCTCCGATACTTCGATGGGGAACATGAGCCAGCCCTCCGATACTGCGATGGGAACATAAGCCAGCCCTCCGATACTGCGATGGGAAACATAAGCCACCTCTTCCGATACTGCGATGGGAACATAAGCCAGCTCCTCCGATACTGCGATGGGAACATAAGCCAGCTCCTCCGATACTGCGATGGGAACATAAGCCAGCTCCTCCGATACTGCGATGGGAACATAAGCCAGCTCCTCCGATACTTCGATGGGAACATAAGCCAGCTCCTCCGATACTGCGTTGGACATATGCCAGATCCTTCGGGGAAACATAAGCCAGCTTCCGATACTGCGATGGGAACATAAGCCAGCTTTTCCGATACTTGATGGGAACATGAGCCAGCTCCTCCGATACTGCGATGGGAACATAAGCCAGCTCCTTTGATACTTCGATGGGAACATATGACAGCTCCTCCGATACTGCGATGGGGAACATAAGCCAGCTCCTCCGATACTGCGATGGGGAACATAAGCCAGCTCCTCCGATACTTCGATGGGAACATAAGCCAGCCCTCCGATACTGCGATGGGAACATAAGTCAGCTCCTCCGATACTGCGATGGGGAACATAAGCCAGCTCCTCCGATACTGCGATGGGGAACATAAGCCAGCTCCTCCGATACTGCGATGGGAACATACATCCTCCGATAATTCGATGGAACATAAGCCAGCTCCGATACTGCGATGGGAACATAAGCCAGCTCCTCCGATACTGCGATGGGAACATAAGCCAGCTCCTCCGATACTGCGATGGGAACATAAGCCAGCTCCTCCGATACTGCGATGGGAACATAAGCCAGCTCCTCCGATACTGCGATGGGAACATAAGCCAGCCTCCGATACTGCGATGGGAACATAAGCCAGCTCCTCCGATACTGCGATGGGAACATAAGCCAGCTCCTCCGATACTGCGATGGGAACATAAGCCAGCACTTCCGATACTGCGATGGGAACATAAGCCAGCTACTCCGATACTTAGAAGGGAACATAAGACAGCTCCTCCGATACTGCGATGGGAACATAAGCCAGCTTTTCCGATACTTGATGGGAACTTATAGGGAACAGCTCCTCCGATACTGCGATGGGAACATAAGCCAGCTCCTCCGATACTGCGATGGGAAAATAAGACAGCTCCTTCCGATACTGCGATGGGGAACATAAGCCAGCTCTCCGATACTGCGATGGGAACATAAGCCAGCTCCTTCGATACTGCGATGGGAACATAAGGGAACCTCGTCCTCCGATACTGCGATGGGAACATAAGCCAGCTCCTCCGATACTGCGATGGGAACATAAAATAGCCCTCCGATACTGCGATGGGAAACATAAGCCAGCTCCTCCGATACTTCGATGGGAACATAAGCCAGCTCCTCCGATACTTAGAAGGGAACATAAGACAGCTCCTCCGATACTGCGATGGGAACATAAGACAGCTCCTCCGATACTGCGATGGGAACATAAGCCAGCTCCTCCTATACTTCGATGGGAATATGAGCCAGCTCCTCCGATACTGCGATGGGAAACATAAGCCAGCTCCTCCGATACTGCGATGGGAAACATAAGCCAGCGCCTCCGATACTGCGATGGGGAACATAAGCCAGCCCTCCGATACCGCGATGGGGAACATAAGCCAGCGCCTCCGATACTGCGATGGGGAACATATGCCAGCTCCTCCGATACTGCGATGGGAACAAGCCACGTCTTCCGATACTTAGATGGGAACATAAGCCAGCTCCTCCGATACTGATGATGGGGACATGAAGGAACTCCTATACGATGGGAACATAAGCCAGCTACTCCGATCCTTTCGATGCGAAATATAAGCCAGCTCCTCCGATACCGATAACATAAGCGATGATGGGAACATAAGCCAGCTTTTCCGATACTGCGGATGGGAACATAACAGCTCCTCCGATACTGCGATGGGAACATAAGCCAGCACTTCCATAAATTCGATGGGAACATAAGCCAGCTCCTCCGATACTGCGATGGGAACATAAGCCAGCTCTCCTCCGATACCGCGATAAACATAAGGACAGCCCTCCGATACTGCGATGGGGAAACATAAGCCAGCTTTTCCGATACCCGATGGGAACATAAGCCAGCACTCTTACCGATAACATAAGCCAGCTATACCAGTGATGGGAACATAAGACAGCTCCTCCGATACTTCGATGGGAACATAAGCCAGCTTTTCCGATACTGCGATGGGAACATAAGCCAGCTCCTTCGATACTGCGATGGGAACATAAGCCAGCGCCTCCGATACTGCGATGGGAACATAAGCCAGCTCCTCCAATACTGCGATGGGAACATATGCCAGATCCTTCGATACTTCGATTGAAACATAAGCCACGTCTTCCGATACTGCGATGGGAACATAAGCAAGTTTCTCCGATACTGCGATGGGAACATAAGCTAGATCTTCCGATACTTCGATGGGAACATGAGCCAGCTCTTCCGATACTGCGATGGGAACATAAGCCAGCTATTCCGATACTGCGATGGGGAACATAAGCCAGCTCTATACTTCGATGGGAACATAAGCCAGCTTCCGATACTGCGATGGGAACATATGCCAGATCCTTCGATACTGCGATGGGAAACATAAGCCAGCGTCTCCGATACTGCGATGGGGAACATAAGCCAGCTCCTCCAATACTGCGATGGGGAACATGAGCCAGCTCCTCCGATACTTCGATGGGAAACATAAGCCACGTCTTCCGATACTGCGATGGGAAACATATGCCAACCTCCGATACTGCGATGGGAACATAAGCCAGCACCGATACTGCGATGGGAACATAAGCTCCGATGGGATGGAACATAAGCCAGCTCCTCCGATACTGCGATGGGGAACATAAGCCAGCTCCTCCGATACTGCGATGGGGAAACATAAGCCAGATCCTCCGATACTGATGGGAACATAAGCCAGCTCTTCCGATACTGCGATGGGAACATAAGCCGCTCCTCCGATACTGCGATGGGAACATAAGCCAGCTCCTCCGATACTTCGATGGGAACATAAGCCAGCTCCTCCGATACTGCGATGGGAACATAAGCCAGCTCCTCCGATACTGCGATGGGAAACATATGACAGCTCCTCCGATACTGCGATGGAACATAAGCCAGCTCCTCCGATACTGCGATGGGAACATAAGCCAGCTCCTCCGATGGGAACATAAGCCAGCTCCTCGATACTGCGATGGGAACATAAGCCAGCTCCTCCGATACTTCGATGGGAACATAAGCCAGCTCCTTCCGATACTGCGATGGGGAATAAGCCAGCCCCCGATACTTAGATGGGAACATAAGACAGCTTTCCGATACTGCGATGGGAACATAAGCCAGCTTCCGATACTGCGATGGGGAACATAAGCCAGCCCTTCGATACTGCGATGGGAACATAAGCCAGCGTCTTCAATACTGGATGGGAACATAAGCCAGCTCCTCCGATACTGCGATGGGAACATAAGCCAGCACCTCCGATACTGCGATGGGAAACATAAGCCAGCCATCCGATACTTAGATGGAAACATAAGACAGCTCCTCCGATACTTAGATGGGAACATAAGCCAGCTTTTCCGATACTGCGATGGGAACATAAGCCAGCTCCTCCTTCTGATACTGCGATGGGAACATAAGCCAGCTCCTTCGATACTGCGATGGATGATATAAACATACTGATGGGAACATAAGCCAACTCCCGATACTGCGATGGGAACATAAGCCAGCTCCTCCGTTACTGCGATGGGAACATAAGCCAGCACCTCCGATACTGCGATGGGAACATAAGCCAGCTCCTCCGATACTGCGATGGGAACATAAGACAGCTCTTCCGATACTGCGATGGGAACATAAGCCAGATCTCCGATACTCCGATGGGGAACATGAGCCAGCGCCTCCGATACTGCGATGGGAACATAAGCCAGCTCCTCCGATACTGCGATGGGAACATAAGCCAGCTCCTCCGATACTGCGATGGGAACATAAGCCAGCCTTCGATACTCCGATAACTGCGATGGGATGGGGACATAAGTCAGCTCCTCCGATACTGCGATGGGAACATAAGACAGCTCCTCCTGATACTGCGATGGGAACATAAGCCAGCTCCTCCGATACTGCGATGGGAACATAAGCCAGCTCCTCCGATACTGCGATGGGAACATAAGCCAGCCCTCCGATACTGCGATGGGGAACATAAGCCAGCTTCTTCCGATACTGCGATGGGAACATAAGCCAGCTCCTTCGATACTTCGATGGGAACATAAGCCAGCTCCTCCGATACTGCGATGGGGAACATAAGCCAGCTTTTTCCGATACTGCGATGGGAACAGCTCATCCGATACTGCGATGGGAACATAAGCCGATACTCCGATACTGCGATGGGGAACATAAGCCAGCCCTCCGATACTGCGATGGGAACATAAGCCAGATCCTTCGATACCATTGGAACATAAGCCTTCGATACTGCGATGGGGAACATAAGCCAGCACCGATACCGCGATGGGAACATAAACCCAGCACCTCCGATACTTCGATGGGAACATGAGCCAGCTCCTCCCATACTGCGATGGGGAACATAAGCCAGCTCATCCGATACTGCCGATGGGAACATAAACAGGCAGATCTTCCGATACTTCGATGGGAACATAAGCCAGCTCCTCCGATACTGCGATGGGAACATAAGCCAACCCTTCGATACTGCGATGGGAACATAAGCCACGTTTCCGATACTGCGATGGGAACATAAGCCAGCTCCTCCGATACTGGGAACATGGGGCCCTCCTACTGCGATGGGAACATAAGCCATACTCCGATACCTTCGAACATAAGCCAGCTTCTCCGATACTTCGATGGGAACATAAGCCAGCTCCTCCGATACTGCGATGGGAACATAAGCCAGCCCTCCGATACTTCGATGGGAACATAAGCCAGCTCTCCGATACTGCGATGGGAACATAAGCCAGCTCCTCCGATACTGCGATGGGGAACATAAGCCAGCTCCTCCGATACTGCGATGGGGAACATAAGCCAGCCTTCCGATACTGCGATGGAAACATGGGGAACATAAGCCAGCTCCTCCGATACTTCGATGGGAACATAAGCAAGTTTCTCCAATACTGCGATGGGAACATAAGCCAGCTTTTCCGATACTTGATGGGAACATAAGCCAGCTCCTCCGATACTGCGATGGGAACATAAGCCAGCTTTTCCGATACTGCGATGGGAACATAAGCCAGCTCCTCCGATACTTCGATGGGAACATAAGCCAGCTCCTCCGATACTGCGATGGGGAACATAAGCCAGCCCTCCGATACTGCGATGGGAACATAAGCCAGCCTTCCGATACTGCGATGGGAACATAAGCCAGCTCTTCGATACTTCGATGGGAACATAAGCCAGCTCTTCCGATACTTCGATGGGAACATAAGCCAGCTCCTCCGATACTGCGATGGGAAACATAAGCCAGCCCTCCGATACTGCGATGGGAACATAAGCCAGCGCCTCCGATACTGCGATGGGAACATAAGCCAGCTCCTCCGATACTGCGATGGGAACATAAGCCAGGGGAACATCCTTCCGATACTTCGATGGGAACATAAGCCAGCTCCTCCGATACTGCGATGGGAACATAAGCCACTCCTCCGATACTGCGATGGGGAACATAAGCCAGCTCCTCCGATACTTCGATGGGAACATAAGCCAGCTACTCCGATACTGCGAAGGGAATATAAGCCAGCTCCTCCGATACTGGATGGAACATAAGCCAGCTTTTTCGATACCGCGATGGGAACATAAGCCAGCTCCTCCGATACTGCGATGGGGAACATAAGCCAGCGCCTCCGATACTGCGATGGGAAACATAAGCCAGCCCTCCGATACTGCGATGGAACATAAGCCAGCGCCTCCGATACTGCGATGGGAACATAAGCCAGATCCTCTGATACCGCGATGGGAACATAAGCCAGCTCCTCCGATACCGCGATGGGAAATAAGCCAGATCCTCCAATACGATGGGAACATAAGCTAGATCCGATACTGCGATGGGAACATAAGCCAGCACCTCCGATACTGCGATGGGAACATAGCCAGCTACTCCGATACTTAGAAGGGAACCTAAGCCAGCCCTCCGATACTGCGATGGGAACATACAGCCCTTCGATACTGCGATGGGAACATAAGCCAAGATACTATGGGGACATAAGCGACAGCTTCTCCGATACTGCGATGGGAACATAAGCCAGCTCCTCCGATACTGCGATGGGAACATAAGCCAGCCCTCCAATACTGCGATGGGAAACATGAGCCAGCCCTCCGATACTGCGATGGGGACATACAACACTTCCGATACTGCGATGGGAACATATTAGATCCTCCGATACCGATGGAACATGAGCCAGCTCCTCCGATACTGCGATGGGAACATAAGCCAGCTCCTCCGATACCGCGATGGGGAACATGTTTCAGCACCTCCGATACTGTGATGGGAACATATGCCAGCTCCTCCGATACTTCGATGGTAACATAAGCCAGCTCCTCCGATACTGCGATGGGAACATAAGACAGCTCCTCCGATACTGCGATGGGAATATTAGCTAGCTCCTTCCGATACTTCGAAGGGGAACATAAGCCAGCTCCGATACTGCGATGGGAACATAAGCCAGCCTTCCCGATACTTGGATGGAAACATAAGACAGCGTCTTCCGATACTGCGATGGAACATGGGCCAGCTCTTCCGATATTGCGATGGGGAACATAAGCCAGCCCCTCCGATACTGCGATGGGAACATAAGCCAGCTCCTCCGATACTGCGATGGGAACATGTCAGCCAGCCCCTCCTTCGATGGAACTTAGATGGAAACTGCAGTATGCCAGCCCTCCGATACTTCGATGGAACATAAGCCAGCTCCCTCCGATACTGCGATGGAACATAAGCCAGCTCCTCCGATACTGCGATGGGAACATAAGCCAGCTCCTCCGATACTGCGATGGGAACATAAGCCAGCTCCTCCGATACTGCGATGGGGAACATACAGCTCCTCCGATACTGCGATGGGAACATGCAAGCTCCTCCTCCGATACTGCGATGGGAACATAAGCCAGCTCCTCCGATACTGCGATGGGAACATAAGCCAGCTCCTCCGATACTGCGATGGGAACATAAGCCAGCTCCTCCGATACTGCGATGGTAACATAAGCCAGCCCTCCGATACTGCGACTGCGATGGGAACATAAAGCCAGCTCCTCCGATACTGCGATGGGGAAACATAAGCCAGCTCCTCCGATACTTCGATGGGAACATAAGACAGCTGCGATGGGAACATAAGCCTTCGATACTGCGATGGGAACATACGCCAGCGCCTCCGTGGGATACTGCGATGGGGAACATAAGCCAGCTCCTCCGATACTGCGATGGGAACATAAAGCCAGCGCCTCCGATACTGCGATGGGAACATAAGCCACGTCTTCCTCCGATACTGCGATGGGAACATAAGCCAGCTCCTCCGATACTGCGATGGGAACATAAGCCAGCTCCTCCGATACTTCGATGGAACATATACAGCTCCTCCGATACTTCGATGGGAACATAAGCCAGCTCCTACTGCGATACTCTGCTCCTTCGATGGGAACATAAGCCAGCTCCTCCGATACTTCGATGGGAACATAAGCCAGCTCCTCCGATACTTCGATGGGAACATAAGCCAGCTCCTCCGATACTGCGATGGGAACATAAGCCAGCTCTTCCGATACTGCGATGGGAACATAAGCCAGCTCGATGGAACGCCAAGATAGCTCCGATACTTCGATGGGAACATAAGCCAGCTCCTCCGATACTGCGATGGGAACATAATAGTTCCTCCGATACTTCGATCGGAACATAAGCCAGCTCCTCCGATACTGCGATGGGAACATAAGCCAGCTCCTCCGATACTGCGTGTGGAACATAAGCCAGCTCCTCCGATACTTCGATGGTAACATAAGCCTGCTCCTCCGATACTCCGATGGGAACATAAGCCAGCACTTCCGATACTGCGATGGGAACATAAGCCAGCTCCTCCGATACTGCGATGGGAACATAAGCCAGCTCCTTCGATACTGCGATGGGAACATAGCCAGCTCCTCCGATACTTCGATGGGAACTGCGATGGGAACATAAGCCAGCTCCTCCGATACTGCGATGGGAACGCAACCAGCTCCTCCGATACTGCGATGGAAACCAAAGCTCTTCCCGATACTGCGATGGGAACATAAGCCAGCTCCTCCGATAACTGGCCAGCTCCTCCGATGCGTAACATAAGCCTGCTTCTCCGATACTGCGATGGGAACATAAGCCAGCACTTCCGATACTGCGATGGGAACATAAGCCAGCTACTCCGATACTTAGAAGGGAACATAAGACAGCTCCTCCGATACTGCGATGGGAACATAAGCCAGCTTTTCCGATACTGCGATGGGAACATAAGCCAGCTCCTTCGATACTGCGATGGGAACATAAGCCAGCGCCTCCGATACTGCGATGGGAACATAAGCCAGCTCCTCCGATACTTCGATGGTAACATAAGCCAGCTCCTCCGATACTGCGATGGGAACATAAGCCAGCTCCTTCGATACTGCGATGGGAACATAAGCCAGCTCCTCCGATACTGCGATGGGAACATAAGCCAGCTCCTCCGATACTGCGATGGGAACATAAGCCAGCTCCTCCGATACTGCGATGAACATAAGCCAGCTCCTCCGATCTGCGATAACATAAGCCAGTTCTTCATTACTTCGATGGGAACATAAGCTCCTCCGATACTGCGATGGGAACATAAGCCAGATCCTCCGATACTGCGATGGGAACATAAGCCAGCTCCTCCGATACTGCGATGGGAACATAAGCCAGCTCTCCGATACTTCGATGGTATGGGAACATACTGCGATGGGGACAAGCCAGCTCCTCCGATACTGCGATGGGAACATAAGCCAGCTCCTCCGATACTTCGATGGTAACATAAGCCAGCTCCTCCCTGCGAACATAAGCCAGCGATGGGGGAACATAAGCCAGCTCCTCCGATACTGCGATGGGAACATAAGCCAGCTCCTCCGATACTGCGATGGGAACATAAGCCAGCTCCGATCCGATACTAAGCCAGCTCTGATACTGCGAACATAAGCCAGCACTTCCGATACTGCGATGGGAACATAAGCCAGCTCCTTCCGATACTGCGATGGGGAACATAAAGACAGCTCCTCCGATACTGATGGGAAACATAAGCCAGCTCCTCCGATACTGCGATGGGAACATAAGCCAGCTCCTCCGATACTGCGATGGGAACATATACTGCGATGCGAAACCAGCTCTTCCGATACTGCGATGGGAACATAAGCCAGCTTTCCGATACTGCGATGGGAACATAAGCCAGCTCCTCCGATACTGCGATGGGAACATAAGCCAGCCTCCGATACTGCGATGGATACCAGCTCCTCCGATGGGAACATAAGCCAGCGCCTCCGATACTGCGATGGGAACATAAGCTAGCACGATGGGAACTCCGATACTGCGATGGGAACATAAGCCAGCTCCTCCGATACTGCGATGGGAACATAAGCCAGCTCCTCCGATACTTCGATGGGAACATAAGGGAACATAAGAACATAAGCCAGCTCCTCCGATACTGCGATGGGAACATAAGCCAGCTCCTCCGATACTGCGATGGGAACATAAGCCAGCTCCTCCGATACTGCGATGGGAACATAAGCCAGCTCCTCCGATACTTCGATGGGAACATAAGCCAGCTCTCCGATACTGCGATGGGAACATAAGCCAGCTTCTCCGATACTGCGATGGGAACATAAGCCATACTGCGATGGGAACCCAGCGCCTCGATACTGCGATGGGAACATAAGCCAGCTCCTCCGATACTGCGATGGGGAACATAAGCCAGCTCCTCCGATACTGCGATGGGAACATAAGCCAGCTCCTCCGATACTGCGATGGGAACATAGCCAGCTCCTTCTTCGATACTTCGATGGGAACATAAGCCAGCTCCTCCGATACTTCGATGGGAACATAAGCCAAATCCTCCGATACTGCGATGGGAACATAAGCCAGCTCCTCCGATACTTCGATGGGAACATACTGCGATGGGACATAAGCCAGCTCCTCCGATACTTCGATGGGAACATAAGCCAGCTCCTCCGATACGATACCAGCTCTCCGATACTGCGATGGGAACATAAGCCAGCTCCTCCGATACTGCGATGGGAACATAAGCCATGGGAACATAAATCTTCCGATACTTCGATACCGATACTGCGATGGGAACATACTGCGATGGGAACATAAGCCAGCTCCTCCGATACTTCGATGGGAACATAAGCCAGCTCTCCGATACTGCGATGGGGAACATAAACCGCTCCTCCGATACTGCGATGGGAACATAAGCCAGCTCCTCCGATACTGCGATGGGAACATAAGCCAGCTCCTCCGATACTGCGATGGGAACATAAGCCAGCTCCTCCGATACTTCGATGGGAACATAAAGCCAGCGCCTCCCGATACTGCGATGGGAACATAAGCCAGCTCCTCCGATACTGATGGGAACATAAGCCAGCTTCTTCCGATACTGTGATGGGAACATAAGCCAGCGATGATGGGAAACATAAGCCAGCTCCTCCGATACTGCGATGGGAACATAAGCCAGCTCCTCCGATACTGCGATGGGAAAATTAGCTAGCTCTTCCGATACTTCGATGGGAACATAAGCCAGCTTTTCCGATACTGCGATGGGAACATAAGCCAGCTCCTCCGATACTCCGATGGAAACATAAGCCAGCTCTTCCTATACTGCGATGGGCACATAAGCCAGCGCCTCCGATACTTCGATGGGAACATAAGCCAGCTCCTCCGATACTGCGATGGGAACATAATGGGAAGCCAGCTCTCCGATACTGCGATGGGAACATAAGCCAGATCTTCCGATACTTCGATGGGGGTAACATAAGCCAGCTCCTCCGATACTGCGATGGGAACATAAGCCAGCTTTCCGATACTCCGATACTGCGATGGATGGAACATAAGCCAGCACTTCCGATACTGCGATGGGAACATAAGCCAGCCGATACTGCGATGGGAACATAAGCCAGCTCCTCCGATACTGCGATGAACATAAGCCAACTCCTCCGTTAATGGGAACATAAGCCAGCTCCTCCGATACTGCGATGGGAACATAAGCCAGCTTCTCCGATACTGCGATGGGAACATAAGACAGCTCCTTCCGATACTGCGATGGGAACATAAGCCAGCATTTTTCTCCGATACTGCGATGGGAACATAAGCCAGCTCTTCGATACTTCGATGGGAACATAAGCCAGCTCCTCCGATACTGCGATGGGAACATAAGCCAGCGCCTCCGATACTGCGATGGGAACATAAGCCAGCTCCTCCGATACTGCGATGGGAACATAAGCCAGCTCCTCCCTCCGATACTGCGATGGAAACATAAGCCAGCGCCTCCGATACTGCGATGATACTTCGATGGGGAACATAAGCCAGCTCTTCCGTTACTGCGATGGGAACATAAGCCAGCTCCTCCGATGCGGGGAACATAAGCCAGCTTTTTCGATACTGCGATGGGAAACATAAGCCAGCGCTTCCGATACTGCGATGGGAACATAAATACTTCGATGGGAACATAAGCCAGCTTTTCCGATACTGCGATGGGAACATAAGCCAGCTCCTCCGATAGATACTGCGATGGGAACATAAGCTAGCTCCTCCGATCCTTCGATGGGACATAAGCCAGCTTTCGATACTGAAACATAAGCCACGTCTTCCGATACTGCGATGGGAACATAAGCCAGCTCCTCCGATACTGCGATGGGAACATAAGCCAGCTCTCTCTTCGATAACTAAGCCAGCTCCTCGATACTGCGGGGGAACATAAGCCAGCTCCTCCGATACTTCGATTGGAAGCCATCTTCTGATACTGACAAATTCCGATCTTCGATAACATGCGATGGGGAACATAAGCCAGCTCCTCCGATACTGCGATGGGAACATAAGACAGCTCCTCCGATACTTCGATGGGAACAAAAACAGCTTTTCCGATACTGCGATGGGAACATAAGCCAGCTCCTCCGATACTTAGATGGGAACAAAGCCAGCTCCTCCGATACTGCGATGGGAACATAAGCCAGCACCTCCGATACTTCGATGGGAACATAAGCCAGCTCCTCCGATACTGCGATGGGAACATATGCCAGATCCTTCGATAAGACAGCCACTCCTCCGATACTGATGGGAACATAAGCCAGCTCCTCCGATACTGCGATTGGAACATAATGCCAGCTCCTCCGATACTTCTATGATGGGAACATAAGCCAGCTCCTCCGATACTGCGATGGGAAAATTCTCCGATACTGCGATGGGGAACATTAGCCAGCTCCTCCGATACTGCGATGGGGAACATAAGCCAGCTCCTCCGATACTTCGATGGGAACAAAAGCCAGCTCCTCCGATACTGCGATGGGAACATAAAGCCAGCTCTCCGATCCGAACAAGCCAGCTCCTCCGATACTGCGATGGGAAATAAGCCAGCTACTTCCGATACTTCGATGGGAACATAAGACAGCTCCTCCGATACTTGATGGGAACATCCTCCGATACTTCCTTCCGATACAGCTTTTTCGATGGAACATAACGCCAGCCAGCTCTTCGATACTGCGATGGGAACAAAGCCAGCTCCTCCGATACTGCGATGTGGAACATAAGACAGCTCCTCCGATACTTCGATGGTAACATAAGCCTGCTTCTCCGATACTCCGATGGGAACATAAGCCAGCTCCTTCGATACTGCGATGGGAACATAAGCCAGCTTTTCCGATACAGCGATGGGAACATAAGCCAGCTCCTCCGATACTGCGATGGGAACATAAGCCAGCTCCTCCGATACTGCGATGGGAACATATGCCAGATCCTTCGATACTTCGATGGAAACATAAGCCACGTCTTCCGATACTGCGATGGGAACATAAGACAGCTCCTCCGATACTGCGATGGGAACATAAGCCAGCTCCTCCGATACTGCGATGGAAACATAAGCCAGCTACTCCGATACTGCGATGCGAACATAAGCTAGTTCCTCCGATACTTCGATCGGAACCTGAGCCAGCTCCTCCGATACTGCTATGGGAATATAAGCTAGCTCCTCCGATACTTCGATGGGAAACATAAGCCAGCTCCTCCGATACTGCGATGGGAACATAACCCACCTCTTCCGATACTGCGATGGGAACATAAGACAGCTCCTCCGATACTGCGATGGGAACATAAGCCAGCTCCTCCGATACTGCGATGGGAACATAAGCCAGCTCCTCCGATACTTCGATGGTAACATATGACAACTTCTCCGATACTGCGATGGGGACATAAGCCAGCTCCTCCGATACTGCGATGGGAACATAAGCCAGCTCCTCCGATACTTCGAAGGTAACATAAGCCATCTCCTCCGATACTGCGATGGGAACATAAGCCAACACTTCCGATACTGCGATGGGAACATAAGCTAGCTCCTCCGATACTGCGATGGGAACATAAGCCAGCTCTTCCGATACTGCGATAGGAACATAAACTGTTTCACACAGAATCAATAAAAGACAAAACGAGGACAGTACGACTTTCAACGCCAAGGGGCACATGTGCAGAGGTAGAATAATCCGTGCTGCGATCATCCTAATAGTCACGACGAAAACGGTCTTCCGAGCTAAAAATTCCCCAAACCACAGTGTTAACTCATATGAAAAAGGATATTGATTTCGTCATGAAAGCGAATAAACTGAATGCAGTACATGTGCTTTGTATTACTCTATTACTTGTTCACATTACTGTTATGTATATGGGTGACAAGTCTTTCCGAACACCTTGTACAATAAGCATGTAAGTAATACAGCTTGATTTCACAACTGTCAGCGGATAGGTAGATCGCAAATCCCCTTAAATGAGAAGTACAGATAACATCTTAAGCAAGTAACTTTTTAGTAATAATCAGTAATTTGTTAAGTAGCAGTTATGCATATTATTAGCCACCCCCTTACAATTATAACAGTTAATGACTTATTTCCATGCAAATGTACAAAGAAACAAATCTAGTATTCTCTATTATCAAAATGCAGAAAAACTATTTATTAACGATAGTTTAGGAATATTCATATGATATTACAGAAATTGTTCCAGTGTCATTTTATTTATACCTTTTTAGAATCACCTTGACTCATGATGATTAAATAACATGTCATCCCATAAGTTCTGTCCGAATTTTGAATAAAGAAAACAAGTGAGCAAATGTTACATTTAATTACAGATTCAATCAACAATGTATTTTCCCTGATTATCTATGACTTCCTTCCATCTATTTACAAGCTTACTAATTCCATTACTGTAAAATTCTTTTGGCTTTGATTCGAAGAACTCACAAATGTCAGTTTTAACCTCTTCCTGTGTTACAAAAGCTGTTTCTTCCAAATGATTCTGTAAGCTACGAAACAAATGGTAGTCTGAAGGAGCAAGATCGGGAGAATAAGGTGGATGAGGAATTTTCTCCCAACCAAGTTCTTCGATCTTTTCTGACGTGATTCTTGCTGTGTGGGGTCACGCATTGTCCTGATGAAACATCACCTCTTTTCGATTCACTAGAGCAGGTTTTTTTTTCCTCAAAGCTTAGTTCAAACGCTCTAAATGCTGATAGTATATTTGAGCATTAAATGTTGCATTAGGTGGTAAGAATTCAAAGTGTATTATTCCTTGGTGATCCCACCAGATTGAAAGAAGAACCTTTTGCCCATGAAGTTCCCTTCTCGGCTGTAGCTGGGGTCCTTCCTCTTTACCAAGCCCCTGTCTACGACGCTTAACATTTCGGTAAAAGATCCATTTTTCGTCGCCAGTCACAAGTCTATCCAAAAAAGGTGAAACAAGTTGGCGAGAATGAAGAGAAGATCAGATGTCAACTCGGGATTTGAGGTTGTTTTCAGACAATTCATGAGGCACCCATTTTACAAGTTTAGGAACTTTTCCAAGTTGCTGTAGATGATGATGAACAGTTGTATAGTTTGAACTGAGAACCACTGCCAATTCCTCAACTGATAAAGCAGGATTTTCTTCAAGGGCTGCTTCAAAGAGCATTTCATCAAACTCAACTGGACGTCCGGTTCGATATTCATCTTCAAGGGTGAAATCTCCACCTCTGAATTTTGCAAACCATCTTCTGCAAATTCTTTCATTCACACATTCCTCTCCATAAACTGAGTGAATGTTTCTAGCCGCTTCGGCTGCTAAGTTTCTAACAGAACTTATGGGATGACCTGATAAAAGCGTTCATTTCGAACGTCCCAAAAATTTACGTATATCGAAAAACATCTGAATAAATCCAGAAGTCACATTGAAACGATTGTTTCTTTCAATGCTTTAATATTTATTTGCATTGTCGTCAGAATATTGTTATGGAAAGTAACATGAATAAACATCTGAATAAATCCAGAAGTCACATTGAAACGATTGTTTCTTTCAATGCTTTAATATTTATTTGCATTGTCGTCAGAATATTGTTATGGAAAGTAACATGAATAAACATCTGAATAAATCCAGAAGTCACATTGAAACGATTGTTTCTTTCAATGCTTTAATATTTATTTGCATTGTCGTCAGAATATTGTTATGGAAAGTAACATGAATAAACATCTGAATAAATCCAGAAGTCACATTGAAACGATTGTTTCTTTTTCATGCTTTAATATTTATTTGCATTGTCGTCAGAATATTGTTATGAAAGTAACATGAATAAACATCTGAATAAATCCAGAAGTCACATTGAAACGATTGTTTCTTTCAATGCTTTAATATTTATTTGCATTGTCGTCAGAATATTGTTATGGAAAGTAACATTTAAACATCTGAATAAATCCAGAAGTCACATTGAAACGATTGTTTCTTTCAATGCTTTAATATTTATTTGCATTGTCGTCAGAATATTGTTATGGAAAGTAACATGAATAAACATCTGAATAAATCCAGAAGTCACATTGAAACGATTGTTTCTTTCAATGCTTTAATATTTATTTGCATTGTCGTCAGAATATTGTTATGGAAAGTAACATGAATAAACATCTGAATAAATCCAGAAGTCACATTGAAACGATTGTTTCTTTCAATGCTTTAATATTTATTTGCATTGTCGTCAGAATATTGTTATGGAAAGTAACATGAATAAACATCTTAAATCCAAAGTCACATTGAAACGATTGTTTCTTTCAATGCTTTAATATTTATTTGCATTGTCGTCAGAATATTGTTATGGAAAGTAACATGAATAAACATCTGAATAAATCCAGAACACATTGAAACGATTGTTTCTTTCAATGTTTAATTTTATTTGCATTGTCGTCAAAAAAGTCATTTAATCTGTTTTGTTTAATGTTTTGTCATTAGATCAGATTTTTGAAAGCGTAGCAAAAGGATGAGCCCAGGATGTAAATAACAAATCGGGGATTCTAAAATGAAACAATTACAGAAATTTAAACATCTGGGAAGTGTTCTAACAGGGAACAGAAAGTGCGACACTGAAATCCGAAAACGTATTGGGATGGCGAAGACGCTTTCCAAAAGCTAAGCAAAGTATAAAGAGACTTAAAAAAGAAACCAAGAGAAGCGTACTGAATTGTTAAGTGATATTTGTCCCCCTGTATGACAATGAATGCTGAACAGTTTCCTCATAGATGAAGAAGAGACTTGAAGCAATAAAGATGTGGTTCTACAGAAAGAGGCTTAGGATAACGTGGACTGAACATGTGAGCAACAACGAGGTTTTGGAGATAATAGAAACAAAATGGATACTTATACTTAACACCAGTAAGAGGCAGTTGAAATTTCTGGAGCACCTACTGAGGAAGGGGGGCTTGGAAAATTGATACTCAAAGGAGAGATACAGGAAAAGATAGACAGACGAAAGAATCGCATATTTGATGAATTTGAGTAAATAAATGGCAGAACAGGGATTGTGAGAAATAACAAAAAGACAAAACTTATTAAGAGCTACAAGATGTGGAGGGCCTAGATCTTGAAGCGACACGGCACATAAAATAAGATTGTATGGCGAACTTGTCAGTGCTTTTTAGTAATAATGAAATAAATTTATTCATTACAAATATTAAAAAAAAAAATTAAAAATGTTCATACAATCGCAAGATCTCAAAGACAAAAAAGAATCACGGAAAATTCATTCGCTGAACTTTTCAATGAATGATTGCAATAAAGAATAAGGAAATTGAAATTATAATTTTGTCATTTCTTTATTTTTAACTGTTTTCCAGGTTTCGGCTTCTATTTAAATTTTTACACCTACTTGTTTTGACGCCTTAAAAAAATATTATCCCCTTTTTCCCCTCGAAAGGTATTTATATACGATGATTGATATTGAGGAAGACTACACTTTACGCTGTTAATCCAACGCATTGTTGCCTTCAACTCACAAAGACGATGAGAAAAACACAGATAAAATGAATGAAAATGAAAAGAAAACTAAACATCGTCATATTTCGTATTTTCCGGCATCGAAGTAACGTCTTATTTAAGAAATAAAAACAGTAGGAAAAAAATTACCAAGAGAAAAAAAATGAAAATTTTAATAGAAATTTATTCTATATCTTCCAGGACGAATGTTATTTTTACATAAACCTATTCTAATTAATTTTACTATGTTTATTTTTTCATATACTTCCCGGTTAAAATTTAAATGCAACCTTGCAGCTGAAGCGATCATGACGCCAACAAAAACGGCATGAAGAATTAGGAACCGTTATTTGACTTTAAGTATGTTAATTTGAAAATATTATAGGACTAGATAGACAGGAACAGATTTATATATATATATATATATATATATATATATATATATATATATATATATATATATATAGAGAGAGAGAGAGAGATAGATAGATAGATAGATAGATAGATAGATAGATAGATAATGAGAGTAAAATATACTATATATACATATGTGTGTTTGCCTCTCTGTGTGTATAGTAGATTTAAATTATATATACAATTTTTAGCATTATGAAAGAAATGAAGCCAAAGATTAGAATATTCTGGCATATTATTGGGAAAATTGTCATATAATACGCTTCAATTTAAAAGGCAGGTTTTATGAGTATATATATGTCCCTATATTTATAAGACTTTGCCTTTATTACATATAAGATAGATAGATCATGGTAAGATATTGAGATAGATAGGTAGATAGATAATAGTAACAGATTGAGATAGATAGATAGATAGATAGATAGATAGATAGATAGATAGATAGATTTAGATATATCACAGTAAGAGATTTTAGATAGATCATATTAAGAGACTGAGATCGATATTATGTGATTCATTTACATATGAAGTAACAAAGACTATAAATAACTACGGCTAGACCCCATCAGGTAGTTGAGTGCATACTACTTCCCGTTTGTCAGTAACGCTTCACTACAATGACGAACCGAACGAACAATTATCACTGGATAATTATGAATACGCACAAGCGTGGCGGAGGATTCTAGCAGCTAAAGCTAGAACAAAAACGCTGAAGTATTTGAAATCAGTTGGAAAAAAAAACAACAAATAACTGATCTCTTCTTGGCAACTGCTGGTTGTGAGGCCATTATAAAATTATCAGCAGTTGCACACCCAAGACAGTCGGAGAAAATGATGTTTGAAGATATAAGGCAACTAATATTGAAAAACACAACACCTAAGAAAAATACAATGAATGCAGAGAGAACTATGTTTATGAATATTTCTCAGCAACTATATGAACAAGTTATTGAATAAGTTTTTCGTTTAAAACAAGCCGATAAATATTGTGTATTTTAGAAACTGGGGTCGCAAAACCAGTCAATCGAAGAGGATTTGATCCAAGTGAAATTGTTAAACTGCTTTCAAAATGAGGAGTATCGGCAAATGACTCTAATGCATTTATAAAAGTGGAAGTTGTCACGAGAAAAAATAATTTGAAAATTTAATAGAATAAAAATTAGGTATATGGTCACATACGCGATAAAGAAAAAGATAAAATAGCGATTGCTTTTTGTAGATATCTATATCAAGGAGAAAAACAAAAATGTTAAGTATAGAAACAATGTAAAATATTTCAAAATGAATCATTTTAAACGTATGTGTAAATCCAAAAAGAAAGACGTAGAGACGATCCAACAAAATAAAGAGGAAATAAGTGCCGGAGTCCTTTCATTGACAATAAGAAATGAAAATGGATTATTGAAAATTCGAATCAATAATTTGGACATGCAACTACTATACAGGAAGTTATGTGAAGTGGATACCTAGAAATTTGTGGAAGAATTTATGAAAAGAAGGTTAAAGAAAAACCTTGTCCAATTGAATCAGTTTAAAGGGATCAGTGATAAAAAAATGTTAGGTTATTTTGAAGCTACGTGGAAATAAAAAAAAATATTTTTACGTATTACCAATTATTATTATTATTATTATTATTATTATTATTATTATGGTTTTACCACAAGCAAGGCGTGAATGCTGCTGGTACGCAGGGAGTTACAGAAAATGAAGGTGGGAGAAAAAACTGCTTATGACACATAGGCCATGCCCATGTTTATGGTGTAGGATTATTACCAAAGCTGGCAGATTCGTATTCAGGCTGGCCAGAAGTAATACAAGTTTCCAACAAAAAAAGTTCAACCGTGAAATAAGCGTTAAGGATCATATTCTCAAGAAATGGAATTTCGAAAACGCTAGTATTTGACAATGCCTCAGCGTTCTGTCAAGAGTAACTATGCCAATGGCTGAAGAAAATTTGACGCAAACCATATAAAACGCCAACGTACCATCCGCAATAAAAATGGATGAGCAGAAAGGATGGTGCAATCTATAAAAAATGAATTGAAAATACTGTACATCGGAAAGAAAAGATAGAAACATTTCTTCCTTGATTGATGCTAAGCTATAGGACAGTACCACATGCTGGAAGATATTGAACCTCATTGACCCTGTCTTATGCCAACAATAAAAAACTGGTATAAAAAGAATAGTGAATCTAATCAAGAAGAGACAAGATTCATAATTCAAAGTGGACAAAACTCAAGGATAATAGAAAAAATGTAAATCAGATATTAGAGCAGACAGACCAAGTTCGATTGTAACACGATAAGACATGTACAGTGAACCTGAAAGGAATGAAGAGGAAAGTGTGATGTCAAAACAATGTTATGACCTAGACAGTGAAAATGAGAGCAATATAGACTCTAAAGATTAACAAGGACACTCGCTGGAAAAACAATCGTAAAAAAAAGATCAAGATCTTCCATAACTAGACATCCTTTTAGAGAGAGAGAAGGAAGATAATGAGAAGAGAAACGCCCCCAGGGAAAAATAAGAGGATAAAACCGCTTCGACACGTGGAAATTAGGAGACACATTCATATAGAAAATCACAAAAATTATAAATAGCTACAGCATTTTCCCTTGGGACAGTTGAGTGCATACTACTTCCTGTGAGTCTTTAACAATGTACTAGAAGATAGATATGAACTGACTGGTATAGATAGACAGATCATATGAATACATATATATATATATATATATATATATATATATATATATATATATAGAGAGAGAGAGAGAGAGGGGGGAGAGAGATTTTAGGAAGTGATTGATAGAAACAGACTGGCATAGATATGTGAGAAAAGTATATAATACACACGAACACACACACAAAAACACACACACACACATATATATATATATATATATATAAATATTACAATGTGTCATTCATACAAAATGTAGATTAGTAAAGTTAAAACTATAAAATGGCAAAATCATTTCGCAAACAAAATTCTAAAGGTGCATTAACCTACAAATCATCCTTGTTTTTAAAAATTATAAGATGTATAACTTTACTAATCTACTTTTTGTATGAATGATTCATTGTAATATAAATTGAACTGCACCACATATTTGATATATATATATATATATATATATATATATATATATATATATATATATATATATATATATATATATATATATATATATATATATATATATATATATATATATATATATATATATATATATATATATATATATATATGCAGCCCTTCCAAATAGATTGGAACGTCAAGGATAATTCCTTTGTTTTTGTTGTTCACTGAAGACATTTCGTTTTATGTTGCTTATAAAACGCGTAAATTTCAGAAATAAGTTATTCCAAAAAAATTCGCTTGATGATAGAACAGAGCTTAGTACTTTAATTCAATTTAATTCAAATAATTATATTGAAGTTTTCGGCTCTTATTTTAAAACATGAAAACTCTTATGTTGCGTGTTGGAATCATATTTTTAAATAAATAATTATATATATATATATATATATATATATATATAAAAACAATCAAAACTAAACAATGTATATCACTCTGTACTTATATCTATCTATCTATCTATATACCTGTATATCTATCAATATATCATTCTGTTCATATCTATCAATATATCTATCTAAATAAGTTCATATCTGTCTCAATCTGTTCATATCTACCTATCAATCTATCAATGTTCCTATTCATATCTATCAATATATATATATATATATATATATATATATATATATATATATATATATAAAACAATATATATCACTGTACTTCTGTTTTTCTATCGACCTATCCATGTATCTATCTGCCTGCATGTCTATCAATCTGTCATTCTGTTCATATCTATCTATCTATCTATCTATCTATATATATATATATATATATATATATATATATATATATATATATATATTAATCTAATCTTATCGCTCTATTTATCTATCAGTTGTCTATAAGCGTATTTACATATATATATATGTGTGTGTGTGTGTGTGTCTGTGTGTGTTCAAGAAAGATAAAATATGAACAGATCGAAAGAGATTGCTAAATAGTTAGGTATAGATATCTAGCGGTTCCGATAGATCGATAAAATATGGATTGGGTCGTGCTTGTTTCGGTAGCTTCCAGTGTGTCTATAGATAGATCTGCCTCAATAGAACAAGTTTCTCTGCAATATGTCGCTGTCGACTATCCTGCAGCGCTTTGTTTGAGTCAAAGGAAACTTCATGCCAGCAAGAAAACAATTCTGCATTCGAGCCATCAACCAGCGTGAAGACTTTCTGGCAGCGCCTTTACGTTTATGACGTCTTATCAATTTAAACAATCTTGAAGAGACAAATCTGTACGTATGCTCACACAGACACTTGCCTATACATACATATGTGTATGGATGTAATCTTATATATATATATATATATATATATATATATATATATATATATATATATATATATGAAGAAATATAGTCTTAAGATGTGCTATATTTATGGGATAAAGTGCTCAATACCAGAGATAGACCGTGTGTAAATATAAAAAGTGAACATTGAAGTCAACACTTAGAGGTAGCAATCTGTTTCATGCTAGATGCAATCGTCATGCCTGATGATTGCATATAGCACGAAAACAACCTGTCGCCTCTAACTGTTGATTTCTATGTTCACTTTTATATATATATATATATATATATATATATATAAGCAAATTCTTTTTATATGAAGGGCATACATATATAAACGTATACATGTCTCACACTCTGATTCTGGGTCTCTCTCTCTCTTCAGACATATATATATATATATATATATATATATAGAGAGAGAGAGAGAGAGAGAGATGAGAGAGAGAAAATATATATATATATATATATGAATTGGAGACCGGGTGCCTACACTACATGTTGATGAAAAAATCGATTTTCGTTTGGTCATTGGAGTTAGGTCAGTATTTCATGGGGCATTGCTTAGAAACCCCGAAAATTGGGAAAAAAACAAATTCTACAATCTAAAATATGATTCGGTTTGAAATAACCGACAATGTGTCACTAAACATTAAAACAAGCCATCAATTAAATCAATTGCGTTGTGACGGCTAGTTTCATTGCTAACTGATCATCTGACTGTAAACAGTCAAACTGTCAAAAGTAAACAATTAAGAATAAAATGCAGCAGTCAAAACAGGAGGCAAAAGACTAATAACACTCTTGGGAAGAAAATAAGACACATAAGTTTCAGAGAAGAATTCAGTGACTGGAAAGACGAGAAAAAACAAGATTTTTGTTGTGAATGTTAGCACCGGGAGAATATGAAAAATAAATATAATTTTGTACTACCGAAAAAATACAGGAGAAATTTACTTTGAAGAAACAAGAAATATTCTGATTAATTATTCAGCGAGAAAATTTCGTTATTCAATACTCGTTGGAAGTGTATGGATCTTAAACAAAATCT